AGTGAGGGTGACGTTTGTCATCTCCTGCAGTTACTGGGCCTACCTTGGGTGCCCAGGATGCAGGAAGAAGACCTGGTGACCTGTTCATCCGGTGTGTGGGATGAATGTCACTTTCTAGGGGAGCTGGCAAGCACTTTATCCAAAAGGATGAATTGCTAATGGTGGGGTTTCAGGGACAAGCAGGGTTATTTTTTGTAACTAAAGATGGTATTTGTTATTCCTGAATGGTGGGAATGGGCTTTGTGATTGGGGATAGGACTGCAGGAGTATTAGGGCTTAGACACAGCTTTGTGGGTGGATATAGGTCTAGACTCCTCCTAGCCTGAATGTGACAGGTATCAGAAGGTTCTGGTGCCTTGCTCATTAGAGACCTAGGTTCTGAGCCCAGGGTACTAACCTGGTCACTTGAGCATTGAAACTGAGCATCCTAAAGTAGGAAAGAACCTTGGGGAACTGCTAGACTAGGGTTTTTCAGACTTGTTCCCCTGAGCTAGCGGTCCACAGAAGGTACGGTACCCTGGGTGCTTCCTGGGTGGGGTAAGGGTATGAGACCTGCTCCCCACCCGTACCTCAACCAATATATACCTCAACCAGTAGAACTGTCTTGTATCACTTTTATGTATTGAACTCCCTTGTAAGTTTTTTTGAGTTTTCTTTGATAAAAGCTGGTAAACCAGGGGTCTAAGCCAGTCTCCATTTTATAGATTACCAAAGGAACTGAACTGCACTGAGGTCTGGCAAGGGGGTGGCGTGTTAAGAACGGTAAAGCCAAGACCGCTCACCGTGTGTCTGGTACTCTGCTATGCCTGCTCCCGGGTGTCAGGTGAAAGAGGGCAGGGGAGGCAGCACCCCTTTAGGGTGAGGAGAAAGATTGACCTAGGTTCCCTCCCGGAATCTGTCACGAGGTAACCCCACTCTGGGGAGACTGTGGGGTCCACAGGCCTCTTTGGTATCCTGGGTCTTCCCAGAGGGAAGGATATGTGCAGAGCTAGTGCCAGGCTCGAGTTCTGACACCTACTGTGCTTCTTGAACCTTAGTTCCTCCAAATATAAAATGGAGGCTCTCCCAGGGCCCTTTGGGAACACCTTGTAGGGACTTAAGGCCGAGGCCCTTCCAAAGCTCCAGAGGATCCTTTTTTGATAGCCAGTAGGGATTTTGGAGGGCTACCTCAGGAGAAGGACAGAGAGAATGATACTGGTGATGTCCCTTTTTACAACAGATGTTTCTTTTAATTTTTTTAAATGTTTATTTTTGAGAGAGAGAGAGAGACAGAGCGTGACGGAGGAGGGGACAGAGGGAGAGGGAGACACAGAATCCGAAGCAGGGTCCAGGCTCTGAGCTGTCAGCACAGAGCCCGATGCGGAGCTTGAACTCCTGGACCACGAGATCATGACCTGAGCTGAAGTCGGATGCTTAACCGACTGAGCCACCCAGGTGCCCCCTACAACAGATGTTTCTGATACACAGCAAAATCTGGTGTGAAGTAAACCCTGCTGAAAACGCTTTGGGGACCCCAGACGGACTGCCTCTGTTGCTTTCAGGTTAGAGCCCAGTCTGTTGGTCTGCCTTTCAAGGCCCTTCATAACCTTGCCTCAACTCGCTTTTCCCATCTCCACTGCCCACCTCTCCTTGCCCACTGTGGCAAGTGGATGGCTCCAGTATGCTATGTGAAGTTATTCCTGCGTTCCGGACATCCCCTCCGCCTGGAGTGCCCTTTTCCACGAACACCTGGGAAATCTGGCTACTCCTTTACAAGGCAGGCTCCCTCTGGGTTGGAAGGAATCTCTCCGGCCTCAGTGTTCCTATTATCCTTGTGCGTTACAGCCAGCCTCCTATTTCTAGATTGTGAGCTGCTCGAGGTCAAGAGTATGTCTGAATCAATTTGATCTCTTCCACAGGGTTTGGCAAATATTTCCCAAATTGATGTTTCAAGGATTTGAATAAAGCTTTATAGCCCAGTTACTTTCTAACTTATGGAACTGGCAAAATCCAGCTGCTTTTCCTTGACCTTTCCTAAAGTGGGACTAATTCCAAAGGAGATTTTCCTATTTCTGGCCTTCATTGGGTCATTTTCGATGCTGACTGTGCACAGAAAGCTTTCTTGGTGGACTTCCTTTGCCTCAGTGTCATAGTTACCTACAGGAAATGGGAGAGAACAAAATACCAGCTCTCTGCTGGTTTTAACTCAGTGTTCTCCGCAGCCTGCAGAAGAATCCTGAGATCAGGGAGCATGACACCTAACATAAGTGGCAGAGCTAGACTCTGAACCCAAGTCTGATTCTAGATCTGATGCTCTTACTGCCTCTTTCAGAGGTTGGACATACCCTTTTGTAGGCCAAACGCCCAGAGAGCCTACTGTAGCCAACTCTAAAGGAAGGGTGAGTCGTTCTGAAAACATGTATACAGTAATCGGTCTGGCACTTGAAAATGTACTGCAGTGTTTACTTGTCCCCACAGATCCAGAGCCTGGTGACAGTATCTTTGTTCTGCACATCAGGGCACAGGACTAGAGGAGTTCAGTGATTCTGCAGGTCTGTGTGACTCCCAGCTTACTCACCGTAGACCACACTGCCCCCCACCCTGCCCCCTGAGTCATCCTGTGGACCTGGGATAGGACCTAGATGAGTGGCTCCATGCAGGAATTCCTTCCCAGCATTTCTTAGGAAAGGTATGTTTTTTGAATCCAGAATCCCCAAAAAAATCACTTGAGGAAATGAAAAACAATACTAAAATTATCTGTGAATACTAACGCTTAAAAGCATAAAGATGTTAACTGGTTTGAAGGAATCTATCAAATCAAAACAGAGCAAGAAATACCAACACACGGAGTTGAGGGTGGAGGGACCCAGGGCAGGAGAGAAATGGTTACCCACCAATGAATCTTGCTTGCGATTGTTGCCATGTCCCAGGTGTGTCTGTCGAGCCCTATCTGCTGCAAACTGAGTTATTTGTACAAATAAGTTAATACACATAATATACTTTATACAAATCCTATGAGCTTTGTTTGAAGAAATAAGCTTTGGAAGCAAAATAAATTTTAATTTAGCAATTTTGACACGTGATTCCATGTATTCTTAACCTTGCTAGGATATTTGAATGTTACTTGAATACTAGCCAGTAATGTTCCCTGGAGGTTTCCAGTGTCTAAATATTCCCTATAGGCTACAGTTCTTTGTAGTTACTGCTAAGCTTAATATTCCTGTTAAATTTTTTTCAGATATCTATGATAATGGGGGGGGGGAATGTTTCAAGTATTTCAAGAATAACTTGTGATTTAGAGAATTTCTGAGAATTCTAATTTCTTGCTCCTAAATTCCAAAGTAAATATTGTTGTAAATTTGTAATCAGTAACCTAGACTACGAAGAACCAGGCACTCTCCAGCCTGGGCAGGACCGTTGTTTTCAGGAGGTCTATATAGCTGTTCACTTTGGAACTTGGACTAGAACCCAGGTCTCTTGACCCCTCAGACCATTCACTTTTCATTCCATCACATTGCTGGCAGCCCAAAGAATAATCCCACCCCCTTACACCCTGGCTTCAGCTGTGGTTTTGTTCCAAGGGCAGCTAAAAGGCTGAACCAGAAACCATGGTAGAAACAAGTGGGAGCGACGGTTAATGAATTTTTTTAAGTGCAGACATGAACATTCAGGGTGATTAACAGGCTACACTTTGTCCCTGTAATTACAGAATCCATTTGAACCAATGACCTGAACCTCCCTATAGCTGATTTTTTTCTTATCTCTTCATGCCTATTTTTCTCTCTTCCAACTGTCCCAAATTTAGACAAGTTTAAAGTAATAACCCATCACATCACACGTATATGTAGAAGGGTTTCCTCCAAACACCTGGGAGCTAAACTCAGCAGGGACTATTGCTGGCATCTGGAGGGTGAGGAAAGCAAAGGCACCTGCTTGGAGTGGCATAGGCCATAAACACCAGATTTCTCGGATTGTGTGACTGCGTGCATTAAGTAGTTTTAGAGCGGCTGTACGTTAACTATTTTAATAAGGTCAGTTTGAGGTCATTCCCCATCTTTACTTCATGGCCCTCAGCTGTTTGTTGCCCCCATGGATCAGGTACTCACAGTAGAAAAAAAGTTCCACATCCTGTTGGTGGTAAAGGTGAGAATATTGTGGGGAGAATGTGGGAGGGAGGGGTAGGAGTGGCAGGTGGCCAGATGGAGTCCTGTCATGCCTCCTCAGTTTCCAGGAAACCAAGACCAGAAACCAGACCATTCCTCCCGGTACCCAACAGCTGATAGACGGTTCATTCACCAGGGAGAAGATAGTTAATTTTTCAAAGGGAGCTTTTAAATTATAAATCACACATATTAATTATAACTTTAATATAACAAATGTTATTAAAAGCAGCAATTCAAAACCATAAATCTTTTCAAAGGTGCACAGGGTTATTATAAGGTCAGTTGGCAGTAATGCAGCTATTATCTGCTATGAATGAAATGCTGGGGTGTGGAGCCAGGGTGGCCTTCCCAGGCCTTACGCTGACTTCCCAAGTGAGGAAGACACCCCCTCCCCTCTTCCGGCCCAGAGTCTCTCTGGAGCTTGAGTAGAGAAGGTACAGGTGCACTGTGGCAGGCCTTGCTCATCCAGTGCTTTCCCAGACCTAGAAAGCCGAAGCCAGGCAGGAAGCCACAGACTGGATGCCGGGTCCCACACCCCTGCTAGGCTGGGGCTGGCTTCTCGGCTCCCCTTCCATCTGGCCCCAGCGGGGGGGCTTCCGTGGCAGCAGCTGTGGGGCTGAGAAGGGAGAGAACTGGGCCCAACCCCAGCTGTTCCCTGCCTGGGTCCTGCTGGGGAAGCAGAGGGGAGTGGGTGGGCCACGTGCAGGAGGTGAGGTCCCGTGTGAAAGGCACTATAGGAGCTGAGGTTTAAGGCAAGGGGCGTCTGAACAATCTCAGGGACTCCATGATGCGCACAGCTGGGGAGGGCTGGGCACAGCCACGGAAAAACCAGCTCCCCAGGCCCGCTGCCCCCACTGCCGCCCCTTCGTTCACCCACTTTCGCCTTGCAGCTGGCAGCCTGCAGAACTCAGCCAGGCTGGAGGCCACGGTGGCAGTTGGCAAGGCTGGTCCCCATCTGGTCCACCCCCTGCCCTAGTCAAGGCACTTCTTCCTACTTTCCAATCAAGTGGGTCAGTTTCTAATATCTCTGGAAGCAGCAAAAATGAGGGGTCCCCTCCCCTTCTCATTTTTGGTTTCCCTCCAGATGGTATGAGTTGTAATGTCAGTTCTAAGAATTCTACTTATGCCCCCGCTTCCCTTTGGGGGGACTGAACAACACAAGCCTTTTAAAAGTCCCAACCTGTCCCAAAAAGTGATTGTCAGTCTCAGGGTGCGGCAGGGGGTGAGGAAGAGGGTGTGCGCCCTCCACGCCTCCCTGTGGGGTCCTAGCTGGTTCATGGGCAGGACGAAGGGGCCGGAGCTGGACTTTCACAGTTAGTTGCAGCACAGGGCCCCTGAAGAGGGCCACGGGAGAGCAGAGGGCAGGAGCCAGGCTGGCACCGGAGGGAGCGGGGTGCGCGTGTGTGCGTGCGGGTGGTGTGTAGGCTGCGAGGGTGAAAGCGCACGTGTGGATGGCAGCTTCTGTGAGGGTGGGTATCGCTCGGCTGGGTGTGAGGTGGGTCTGGGGGTGGCAGGCACAGGAGACAGCCTGAGGTCTCCTTTCCTCCCCCTTCCTGTCGCGCAAGTTTTTGAGGCCAGGACCTCGGCAACGATGAGGGGCGGGGCCAGAGAAAGGACCAGCTCTGGGACCTCGACACCTGCCGACACCTGCAGCCGTACTAACCGGGCTCTGGTGTTGGTGCCTTGAGGCAGAGACCCAGACTCTTGGCTCCTGGGATCCCGAGAGCCCCGGGGTCTCTGCCTCACCGGCAGAGGCAGCCTCCCACTCTCACAGCATGGAGGGGCAGCAGAGGGGGGAGGGAAAAGCTCGGAGGGGCGTCCTCTTCACCTTCAGCCATGCTTGAAGGTTCCCGTTCGCACACCGTGGTCCCTGGGACGACCGGCTGCCCGCGGGTCAGCTGTGAAGGACATCCGGTACGGGGACAGCCATGTGTGCGTAGGTGTGTAAACACCCCCCCCCCCC